CGTTCGGCTGGGTGGCGGCGATCACGTTGGGTGGTTGTACGCTCGTGAGCAGGGGTGTCGCGGGCTGGAGACCGTCCACGGTTGAGGGGGTCGCTTGTTTGGCGGTGGCGGCGGCGGTGGTGGTTGCTGGGCTGGATGGCGTCGGCTCGGGAGATCGAAAGAGAAACACACCGGGGGGCAGGACGTGGCTGGGCGACTGCTGGCGGAGGATGTGAGGCGGAAGGACAGAGTCACTCGCCTGTCCAGGCGGTCCGAGCTGCTGGCGCTGGTTGCCCAGGTCCTTTTTGATGCGCATAGCTGAAAGACGGTCGGAGGGCGTGGCGAACCAACACTCCGTCATGATGTGGTAGAGCATTCGCAGGGTGCTGTCCTTCTGCCAGACCAGTGGTAGGTGTGGACGCAGACCCAGCTCGCACACCACCGACTTCATCTCCTCCACCAACGGGTCCGAACCCACGTAATCCTACAAGGACAAACACCGAGTCCACAAAACCATCCAATCTCGTCAGCGAACTCTTTCAAAGGCTCACCGCACCTGATAAGGCAGCTGGTATTCCTCGGGTCCGTAGAGATCGGGCACGTAGACACGACGCGTCATCTCCCAGAACACCAGACCCAGGGAGTAGATGTCCGCCTGCATGTAGGCGTCGAAGGAGTTGGCGCGCAGGGTGTTGTCGAGGACCTCCGGGGCCATGTAGCGCTTGGTGCCGACGCGTTCGGGGTTGTGCGCGACGTCCACCTGGCCGGTTAGGCTGTCCAACTTCACCGCGAAGCCCAGGTCGCCGATGCAGCACTCGCCGTCCCCCTTCACCAGGATGTTGCGCGACTTCAAGTCGCGGTGAGCGATCTGCGGCTTGCCCTGAAGCAGTCAAAAAAAAAATCACAAAACCCATGTCTAGACAGTAACCCGAAGATGCTGCTGTGTTGGCGGCTTCGGAAGGCGTGGACTAACTACTTGCTCTAGGAACACAGCCAGCAGGTGGCTGATAACTTGGCTGTGTGTGTGTGTGATTTGGCCTGGTTACCACCACCAACCGAAATTAGGGCGTGTAAGATGCACTCGAAGCGGGGATTAAAGGCTGCAGCGGAGCAGTCCCCCACTCTAATTAACGCACACAACCACCACCACCGCTAAACAACGCCGTTTGGGTGTTCGTAGTGACGCATAAGCGGGTCTAGGGTGGAGTTAGGATGCGGGGGGCCACGGGGAGAGGGGCAACGCCAGTGTGAACCACACGTGCGCGCGATCGCTTCCACTACACACGCGCACACACACACACACCCATCAATTCATTAATAATAATTAAAAAAATCAGGGGACGCCTATGAACCGTGTGCACCACATGCTTTTACGGCCAATGGGTCGATTAAGGTGAAGAGGATAAAGGAGAAAGAGGTAGGCACCTCCACACATGAACGTGTCGACAACTGGCAGCGGAACCACGAGAGCACGCCTCGTTACCACGACTACAACAATGGCATTAAAGGGGCCATTTAACAACGATGCGGAGGAAGGTGTTTGCGTCGTGGAAGCAGTTGACTGTCTCCCCTGTTTCCCAAATTTCGAAGGGAACATCGTCGGTGGAAGGCAGAATTGGTGTCACCGTTGAATGCACGCAAGGCAATAATTGTGAACGAGGGAAATGCGAGGACGCTAAACACACACGGAGCGAGAGGGCGAGAGAGCAAGAGTCGAAGGACAAACACACGAACTTCAACAATGTAAACAACCCAAGCGTTTGTGTCCACAAACTTGCTCTACAAAAAGGACTGCCAGTAAACACACACACACACACACACACACGCATTTGTGCAACTTCAAATACCGAAGACAAGGCAGCACGAATTCGGGTTAAATTAACCGTTGTGCGAGAGAGAGCGAGCGAGCGAGATTGTACTTCGACCCAAGTGCGAGCGGGCTGTGGGGTACGACGAATCAACTGCACCGTCGTTTGAACAACTGACGAGGCTGGAACCAGCTACGCAGCCACGACCCGGCCAAGACGATGGGTGTTGGGTGGGGAACTGTGTGGTTTGGGCAATCGATAAGGCGCTAGCCTGGCTTGTGGGGCATGGAAAAAAATAGTTCCTCACTACGGCCACTGCGCATCGCGAGAACCACTGGCCACGCGTCCGTTGCTGAAGGCGTTGTCTTCATTACCAGCCTCACAGGCCATGGTTACCTAGAACCGTCGGATTCTGGTGATTCCTACTGGTCAACAACAAAAAAACTGACAAATACTTCTCGATTTATCGCATGAGGGTACGACAGGGCTGTCTCCAACTCCTTTCAACACACGCCGCCTGTGTTCAGCAAAGCGGATATCGTAGAACTCCGTGTTTTTGTCCTCAAAATCTCCAGCCTTCTCTCGATTCGTTGGACGTGCGACGGTTTCGTGACTGCATCTACCTCGTGCATGCACAGGAATCCAATATCGACAAGACCCAAAGACCACCGCACCACCACCAGTTCCGATATTTCCGGATTGGATCGCCGTGCGTTGGCTTCAGGATGTCATCTACGTCTAAATGGTGGCCACGATAGCCCCAAATGCCGCCAGCCAATCAAAGCGACTGGCGGCATGGATGGAGGAAGAATTCTTTCGCCCTTCTATTCTGCGACTCCGCTTTTGTTTTCTTCTGGTCCCGGCGAAGGCAACACCCGAAATCGTCCAGGAAAGTCGAGGGGAACCACAAAAAGGGGCGAGCGGGCCAGTCATCACTGTCTCCTATTTAAACCTACTCGGTTTTCGTGACTCCAACGATGAACCGGAGGTGCATTTGAAGTAGATTGAGTTGTGAAAGTGCGATTTAACGGCGTGGGTGAGGGTTGATTGGGGAGGGAAGTTAGGCGTTGTGAAACAAACGCGCGTGCACACACACGCTCTCTCTCGCTCACACACACACGCACAGGGACTGCATTCACACTAAGCAGGAAAATTTACCAGCATTCCAGCTAATTCGGGAGGAAATGATTCCAAGTCGCGCGTTTCCTGCACCGCGAAAAAAAGCACACCCAACGCGCACCGACCGCTAAATTTGCCTTTCTCACAACACAAGGGGGGCTGGATGCGGGCACTGGCAGTAACCCCCAGCAATCAATAATGCGAATATGAGAGAGCGAGGAGATTTTGCAGATTTTAATGGACGTGTGTGGCGCACGACGCTTCACCTGACCGCTCTTAACTAGGTGTCATGTGTGTGTGAATTTCACCGCCCGGTCAAAACTCACCGAGGTGCCGATAATGGGCATATGGAGGTGAGCCAGTCCGTTGGCGATCGACGACGCCATCTTAACGAGAGCCGGGAGGGAGAAGGCGTGGCTTTGCAGGAACTCGTACAGCGACCCCAACCGGTGGTACTCCGCGATTAGCCACAACTCCGTGGAGATGCCGTTGTCCTTGTTGTCGGCGGCGATGAAGCCGAGAATGTTGGTGTGGCGCAGGGTCGCCGTCTCGTAGATCTCCTTCTCTCTGGCAAAGGGAAGCAAAAAACACACCCCCTGTTAGACCAATCAGCGCGCGAACGGGCCAAACACCCCCTGATAGGGAGTCAAAATTGGGTGAGAAATGGTGACAATCTACACATCACGCATTCACATGTCCTGCGATTGCGCGGTTAAGACGCCCTCGATCGAGATCAGGCGGCAGGACAACAGCGTAAAGGAGGTGTGAATTGCGTTGCTAAGTGTGTACCGGGGGTGGAGAGGAGATTGGGGGGCTGCGGGGGGTGGGGGTGGGGGTGTGTAGCACTTTGGCGGCGACGCACCGCTCGTGGGCTTGTTCCGCAAACAAGACAGACCGCCACGACAACGACGACGATGCTAGACACACACATACACACACACCAGTACCGTCGATTGAGCTCCAAACCAGGACTCTGCAGTAACCGGCTGGGAGAGACGGTGTGTGTGTGTGCGCGAGAAGGAACGCGCGCGCACGCAAGCACATTGGCGGAAGCTGGGTTAACAACGCAGCAGTGACTCACGGATGCACAAAACGGGCAAGCTACGATGACGGGAGACACACAGAAAGGCAGGACGGGTCGTGTGTGTGTGCGTGTGTGTTTTGTGGGTGTGTGTGTGCACGAACAAAAATGCTGCCCATACCGACGAGCGGTGCCCAGGCGCTGTGATCCTGGCACTTTGTTTGATGGGGGCCGTGGATTTCGGGCAGATAACGAGAGGAGGTGCCAACGACATGGCAAATTAGGGACTTATGAGTCGTGAAAACCATTGTAAATAGAGTCGGACTGTTGTCAGGACTGCCTCTTGACTGGTACATAGACACTAGATCGGAATGAAGGACTTGTAAGTTATTTTCGGACAACGCCAGAAGCCAAAAGTAGAAGCAGGAAGGAACGCGAGCGCACACGCACACACTTGACACGCGAAGAGGGAAAGACGGGATGGGGGAGAAGCGGGGGAGGGAGAGGAGGAGGAGGTAGAGAAATGCTTGTAAAGCAAGAAGAAACAATGGACATGTAAACAGGGTGCATGAACCCTCTTCGTTACCCCACCCCACCCCCACCCCCCCAACCCCTACCGTGTACCCTTTTCGACTTTGGGGCGTCACGTGTGCGTGTGTGTGCCTGCAACGAGGTGCACAAACAGCCCTTCTCGTAAAAAAATCCACGAAAGCCAGGTTCCTTCGACTGAAGCCGACTCACCTGATCCAGGAGTTTTCATTTCGACTGGAGAATATCTTCACGGCGACCTGGTCACAGTGCAGCCGACCGAGCCAGACATCCCCGTAGCGTCCCTCGCCGATGCGTCGCTCCAGGTGCACCTGTCGGGCGACAGTGCGCTCAACCAGAAGCGGCTGACCAGCCCCGGATCCGCTGCCCGACGAAGTGATGCCCAAATCAGGCCCGCCACCAGGAGGCGCGGAGCAGGAGGCGGGGGGGAACATAGTGCCGCCTCCGCTGCTTGCAAGGGCAGCCGTGTAGGAAGCGCCTCCTCCGCCTCCGCCTCCCACACCCACTCCCTCAGACCCGCGGACGACAGTCGAGCCACCAATAATCACACCGCTTCCGATGGAGTTCAGGCCGTTGCTGTGGTAAGAGGATCCACCCATGGGGCGAATGGGTTTGATCATCACGGCGGAGGACGAGATGGAGGAGCCGGGATTCCCAGTCAAGAGGGGCGTGCGAGAGGGGTAGTGGGGCTCAATTAGACCGCCGTTAAGTAGCTGCGCTGGAGCACCCCCGGGTCCGGTGCCAGCAGATACGACGACGCCAACGCCTGAAGCTCCGTCAACCAACCATGGGCAAGTGTCACCGCCAGACGTCTGACCCGCACAATCGCCGATCGGACCACCCACCACTGAAACTGGCATTTGAAGGGCTGGGTGGTAAAAAGGACTAAATGTCAGGCCGGGAAACTGGGTAATGAAGCCCGCACCTCTGTGTCAATGGCACTTGACAACCGTGAGCCGGGTGATTTGGATTTGGTTATTATGCCAAAGTCAATAGCACCCCACCACTCAAGTTTGCCTAGTATGAACCAGTGAGTAAACATGTTGGCTGAGTGACTATGAAGCCCTTATTAAAAAAACCAGATCAGTGGACAGGTAACAGGTTTATAGTTACACTAAGGATGACGCTACCCCAAATCTGGCAGGCTATATTTGTTCCATTGAGCCAATTTTTAAATATTTGAAAGTAGAAACGGCTTAATACAACAAGACAGGTAACTTACATTTTCTCCAATCTAAAAAAGACGAAAAAAGACAAGAATTAGAAATGGGGGTACAGGGCCAGGGAGCGTGGAATTGTTAGACTAAATCCTGGTTACGCAAAACCATTGAAAACGTACCCGTCCTATCACGCCACCGCCAGAAGCACCAACCGCCGATTAAAACAAAAGCCGTGAGAACAAAGAGGATGGGGAGAATCACAATAAGGGTGTTGTCTTTGGGCTTTTCTACAATCAACTTGGATATCTCCTCATCTGTGGGCAGATTGCAAAAAGTGGCATTGCAGCAACGAGCACCCCCAGGTGCACAAGTAATCGAATTCCAGAAGTCACCTTGGCCCCGGCAACTAAAAAAAGGCAGGCACAAATTAACTGGTGTCTGAGCACAAGTACTCGAGGGAGGGACTGCAGCGCAAATTGACCTACCCCAACTCGTAAAGACGGTGTGGAGGGAGTTTGGGCTCGTTGATGAGTTTGATGCTGCAGAATTCACCAGCTTTGGGTTTGCAGCAGAAGGGCTGTTCGCGTATTTGCTTGTAGTAAATGGAGTTGCCTTCCTCGTCTTTAAAGTTTTGCAACAACGCGTCGATGTAACGTCGCCACTGGTTGAGATGATGGGGCTGTAAGTTCTCACAATGCTGACAGTCACTCTGATCCGGATCACAGAGGAGTTTTAAGCACTGATCAGGCTTGACAGTAGGCACCAACGCGACCAACAGCACTAGTAACAAAACTGGGAACATGTCCACGAGAGAAAATAAATTCGGAGTCTTTGGCTTCGAGGATGGTTAAGAAGGGAGGAAAGAAAACGCCATACAGAACCTACAAATGAAAAAAAAGATGCTGCAAAGAAAGTAATGGAGGAGCGAACTAAGGTTTAAAAAAGCGTGAGAAGCTGCCAAGTGGACGAGGTACTTGCCTCGAACATTAAAATCCAAGCATTTTGCGCAGCTTTTCGGCTGGCAGTCCAAAAAGATTTGAAATAGTCATTAGTCATTAGGGAACAAAGTTCGTGAACAGTGTTAGAAGAAAGTGGCAAGTGATTAGAAATTGGACAAACACTGCAGAATTAAATTGCATTAATGGTGTTGTGTCTACAGTTAACTTTGATACCTCCTAGGGCCCACAACAGTCTGTACAAGCCAAAAAAGAGAAAATTACATGCCAGAATTGAGCACTTTATGGCGGTGAAGAAAGTCACACGATGGGAGACAACGAAAGGGCACGTTAGACAAGAATGGTGAATAAGGTCAACAATACGTCTACGAAGTGTTTACCTTTATAAACAAGTTAAGGCTGCCAAGTCTCAATAAACCGTCGCCGATTGTTAATACGCATTTACTCGAAGGCAAAGGCGTAACTCAATGACAGGACAGCGGCGAACGAAACGCACTCCAAAGTCGCGCTACCAAGTAACGTTTTAAAACAAAGATCCCGTGCCCTTGACATTGTTGACACCAATATAGTCTTCTTTGGATTTTTATCATAACAAAGCAGCACCTTGCTTATTATCATTTATATTTTACTTAAATTGCAGAAATCTTGCTTATCAAAGCAGTTTGTTTATTTTAAATTTTGTAATTACTAATGATCTCAATTATAAATTTCTAGTAAAATACTTCCCATTCGCCACGTTTTAGTAACAGTCAATTTTATCTTTAATCATTGAAAATCATATATAAATATGTCGTGCTGGTGTTTAAACTTTAGGCATCTTTTGTCATTTTATTTGCTGACATTTTTTTTGGCATGTTTAGCGAAAGTGATCCGAACACGCATGCATCATCTGAACTATTCCGTGGTGCTTCATATATACCTTAAGGCCTTTAAAGTGTTGTTTAAATTACTTAGCACTATTGGAAAGTGAACATTTCGCTTGTATCTTACGTTGACTTCTCACCCAATCATCAGTTAAATTTGATGATTCAATACTTTTATTAATCTTATATCGTGAGCCTTCAACATTACAAAGATTTTTCAAATCGTGTTGGTTAGACCTATTATTAACCTCTGCAGTCTACGTGGCCCAGCCCCCTCATTATTTAACTTCGTGTACGGCTACAATTAAACACATATTCTCGCTAAAACAATGGTAAACCTTGGGGCTACAGTCCTTAATTGCATTTGAAGGCCAAACGTCGGTGTCAAAGTATAATGCTGAACTATCGTCGAAATCGCAGCCTTTACTGACTCTTGTTATTTGGCTAAAGAAATAGCGTTGCACAAAATCGATGCAGGCTATCAACGTTCTTTCCATAATTTTCCTTGCGTCCGGCAATCCCATCACCTGACCACAACTTGTAAAGGTCTTTTGTGAATCGCGCAAATCTGATCACTTTAGGCTCTGAAACAGTTTTTCTCTTTGTACAGCATATAGCTAGCTTTGCAGGGTATTAGATATCCCCTCACTAGCCCAAACGATAATTCTGGATTATCACAGCATCTATGTCTCGATGCTAGTGCATCAATGACTTACAATCTTCCACATACTTGAACAGTAAATATGAACATGCAAACACCACCCACGATTCAGCGACACTAACTCGTTTACGCTAAACGCCTGTGTTCCCTTGATTCCTGGTCTTTTTTTTCTTCGAGGGTAGTAGAATTTCGTAATAAGACTTGATTAATCGCAGTGACCCACGTCAGTCAAAAGGGCCACTGCGTTTTTGACAGATGTCTGATGATAAAAATACGTGATAACGGACTCCAAAATACGATAATTTAATTTGTCTGAATATCCTTACTCTAGTCAGCCGATAATTTCACGAATGTCTAGTAATCTGACCTTAAAAAGCATTATGATTAAAATGTTAAGCCCACAAAGTGGTTAAAAATTCAAAAATAATTGAAAATTTGCAGTAATAAAATTGAACCCACCGTTATCAACAAGACACAGAATGGTGATGACAACATCAACAAAACTTTAATCGTAAGAACTTTTTGATTAAATTGATTGGTTGCCTTTCGCTTATATAAAATAGCATATGGTATCTAATTTTCTTACTAATCTGCTTAGGGATTTAAACTGATTGATTTAAGCGACAAGAAAAATTACAAAAAAAGAATGATTTTGTTTTCAATGGTAACTGTTGTGCCAATCAAATGAGCTCTGAATATTATAAAAAAATTCATGCGTGCCTTTGGTCCGAAGAAATACTAGCAAACAACAATATCGAGGTGTCGACCTAATATAGACATTTCTAGTTAAATTCTGAAGCCAAACGGTCTGAAGTTAAATATTTCGTTTTTAAATATTAAATTATTTGTGATTCACGTCAGACTCAAACAAATAAGAAATTTGCGTTTGCATTGCTTCCTGAATGTAAATACCAAGTTACGAATGATTGACAATAATTGATTATTTTTAGACCCAAGCTTCCAGTAACGAAGAAGGAGTATATAAATCAGCCTATAATATGTCCTCAATGTTATAATTCAAATAAATAATGTATTTAAGCATGAAATCATGTAAAACCAATTTCCAGACAAAATTGGGATATCATCCAGAAAAGGACCTAGAAAGATATATAAAAACTACAAATACTGGCTTTTTGGAGTCCCTTTAAAACATCAATTTCTCACCTTTTCAGAATTACAATACTTTTGGGAAATTGATTTCGAGTAAATCACACTCGAAGATAAAAAAAATAATTTTGAATGCTGCACTTTTTAATGAAATAATTTTTGAACAGCAAACCTATGATGCCATACACTTAGAACAATGCAGTTAATTTGTTTGAACTTGTTACACACATGAACATGGTTTGCATTACTCACTCGCAACCTTTCAAGTGGCTGCTTTCGTGAAATGGCGCGGGGTCCGATGTATTAGTTTTAGAAGGCTTATTTTGTACTTGCCTGTCTAAACGTTGTGTTATCATTTTCGGAGTCTTTTCGATAATCATTTATCCATGCTACCTGCAGGAATTTATCAAACTGTATTTTAATTTTGGATGATCAGTATTTCTAGATGGATGCGAGATTTCGGAGCCCCGTCGTTCCACGAAAATCTGTGGGGATCGAAGAGGCTGCTACAAAATTAGTCAAGAAATCTAAACGTTCGAAGTCAACTGTAGTGTTAGCTTTGCCTTACTAATTTGCCTGCTTGTAGGAAAACTCGCTTGAAATGAATGACCCATTTATGCGCTTCAGCGAAAAATCCGAAAACAAGCAGGAAGATTCAATGGCTGTTCTAAATAAACGATGGTCAATTATTGCTAAAAATCAGGAATCGGTTAGCAGAAGTATTATTTTATGTGGATGTAGATGTCAAAACAGGAACTGTTGAATAATTATCGACTTCTTATGAATGATCATCTTCGGTTGGAGAGGTTCCTTTCCATCATCAAAAAGGATAATGAAATGGTAAATTGGTTTATTTATCGTAACAGGCAGTATTGTGGGAGTCATTTAAATTGTATTTGGAAGAGTTAAATTCTAAATTGCGTAGCGTGGTCAATAGTCTTACGTTTTTAGGGGTTTTCCTAATTAGCTAACGGAGGTATTTTTAGTCTATGCAATTAAGGTATAATTGCATTCCGAGAAAATAAGTTTATGTTTGTAATGCGCCTACCGGGCAGGGGTCTACACGGAGATGACTTAGCCCATCCCTCTAAGATAGCCACATCGTCAGTGTTGACTACTCGGCATACGATACAAGAATAGCAGGAAAAACCAGATGTAGTCTATACCACCGCATACAAATGCAGAGGTGCTATAGCTTAAGAAGAGGGTTGGAAGTGGAGGATGAATCGGATGTCCATTGGGAGGGTTGGCGTTGCCCTCAGTCCCACGGACGTCCCTTGAGGAAGACGGGATAGCCGGGGGAAGAGGAGGACAAAGAATAGGTGGACCAAATGGCGCGCGTTACACGTTTTTCATTTAAACAGGCACGCAATCGACTAGAGACAGATCTGCTAGATGCGATGATGTGTATCGAAGACTTAAAACAAGCTCTGGAAGTGCGGATGGCTCGGGTAGGTTTTCTCAATTAGCGATGTTTTGATATACTTCCTAGTCCACTATTATTCATTTTCAAATTACATTTTTAAATTTTAACATAAATTTGCACGCAACTTATTAGGATACTAGGATCGTTGACATTTAGGCCGTATCAGTTTAATTTGCCATCAAAACCCCAAACAACCAACGCCTTTCTTAAATCAATGTAGGTCAGCTAATTCAACGGATAGCCATTAGTTGTCGCAGTGGCAGCGGTCTGTTTTCCCAGGTTTCATTGTCAACTGATTCTGTCAGCTTAGTTTCCACAAGCGACAAGCATGTTTGCTCCGAGTGTGTGAGATTAGCTTCTTTAACGCGATTTTGTAAATTCAGGTTGTAATAGCCGATGGAAAACTTCAAATTACGGTGGTTATCTCTATTTATTGTTACATTCGGTTCTATAAGTCGCAATTTTAACACAACATTCTTCGGCAAGTTGCAGTCAGCCAAAAATTGTTTAGAAAATATTCACAGCTGACAGACACGAATCCTGTGGTATAAGCTTGTTTACGTAAAGGCAACTATAAAGATTAGAACCTCATTGTAATTTAGGAGTTACTCAGAAGTAACACAGTTTAACCAGAAACCGGATTATTCATTCACAGATGCACGTACACGTTGAGGTATCTGTGTAAGAATGTGTTTGCTTTAGACAGGTAGAGGGCTAAATCGTGTTTCCCGTTCATTCGATAACGTGGTTACATCTTTGTAGGTCGTGTGTGAGCCCCTCCTGATTGGTCGGTAGTCTCGAATTATGTGTGTGTAGGTTATTAAGCTTGCCGTTGCTCGGGCTACGCATCGGTAGCTCTCACACCCTAATGGCCGCGTAAATTATGACTATTTTTCACAATGCCGAATGCCACGCACCTGAACGGTGTCCTTGCTGGCAAATATTTGACCAAAATTGCCTTGTTAAGGGTCAGATTTATGTTCTTAAACACGTTCCTAACTCCGTGGATCAGGGTATAGTGGAATGCAGTTTGGAGTTGTGTGTTTTGTGTGGCCTTGAGATGGAAATTTAAAGAAACAGAAGCACGCATTTCGAAAGCTCCTAAGCGACGCGGACATTTCATGCGTCCGCACGATAAAGCCGAATTTGCTGGTGACTCACGCGCCATGGTGACTAATTTCACTTAGCAGGGCGACATTTCCCAGTAGCCAAACCCTATCACAGTCACAAATTGTGGTACGATTGTTTTGCAGAGCCCCTTTAAATTGTCAGCTTTGGGCTTCGCAGAACATGGTTTTTTTTCAAACAACAAAATTTTTAAAATCACTTTTGAATTAGCATCTCAATTCTACTTTATTTCTTAAAAAGAACGACCCTCTTTTCTCTTTTAGCGCCGAAAAATCGTGAGTTGAAGACCTTGTTTTTTAACTTTATTGATTTTTTCGCACTTTTGAAATATACAGACACCCGGAGGCTTATTCTGATTGGCCAACTAGCGGCGTCATGTAAAATCACAACCATCATTTCTAAAACACGTTTGTATCAGTCGAAGATGTCTTGTTTTTGTATTCAGCTTGGAGGACGATCGATTTGGAAAAAAATTACGAGGCGGCAGTTGTGAGAGAACTTATGTGGGGTGGGCTTGGCGTCTGCAAAATTGATCAGAACGACCTATTATTGGGTCTTTTTATTGTTCCTCTAGTACTTGATTGTCTTCCCACCGGTTTACCGTAGCAGTATTGGAGTTTGTGGTCTGTGATATACTACTCACTCTTAGTCAGCGTTGTCTAGAGCAAACGTTTTTCGTTGTGACACCATACTACCGAACGCATCCATGTAATCACCATCTGCTGTTACCATGTTTGCGTGACGTCATTCATTTCGCTTTTCCACCACATGTAACCAGACAGGGAGTGTAGAATATAGCCTTAATTGCCACATTGATGCCGTCGCTTTCCGCTCATTCACTCTCACATTTGATTGGTTAATTTTCCAAAGTTGTTTATTCGTGGCGGGAAATTTGACATCATCACGAATTCCAATCACGCTGCTTACAACCCTGCACACGTAACTCGCGTTTACGACTATTTGGGCACTAAAGTGACGCAATGTTCTGAAGTTGGAACAAGTAGTGTTGACCGACGCCACTAACGCGCCTAGTTTTGTTTGGGGTAAATTGCAAATGCCAGCAAGCCAACTACGTCTGCCCTACCGGTGTCAAAGTTTCACGGAATATATTTGGAAGTGACTTGTACACCGCGTGGCACTCGATCGATGCGTTTTCATATAAACATTTTGCAGAACCACGTATTCTAACTCTCCAGCATGTGTGCATTGCCATGTCTTCGAGAAATAAGATCATATTTGAACCATGCCTTCGTAACAACGCCAGCGCCTCGTGTGCTGCATGTGATCGTTTGGGTAGTTCCTGGACAGGCACGGTTTGTTGTCTACCGGCACGGGCCAATCGGCTTTCGCCTCATTCTCCTTCCCCCCTTTATTACAGCGCTATACGCAGCTGACACGAAAAACAAGAAAGTCGGCGGTTAGCTGGCAATTACCGCTTTTCATTAAACCGCCAAACTTGTACGCTTTTTTTGCCAAGACTCGCAAACTCTGGGTGAGCCCCTGGCGTTGCCAAGGCAACCGGACCGTCTGTGGTACCAACTGTTTGAGCTACTAACGAGGTCCAAACGTAAACGAAGCATGCTAGTTTATTCATGTAGACAAAAAACCCAATCACATCATGTGATTCGACATCTAATTGCTGAATCTATCCAACTGATCGATTGCCAAACGAGAATTATGCGTCATGCGATTGCCCCAATCTGGAGTTGGTACAACATCTACACACACAGCCGTATATTGTTTGTACTTTTTTAAAAGAAGTTGGTTTTTTTATGCCAGTGAGTAGAGGGCGTTGGCTTTTCTGGTTGCGTCTTGTGGGATACACCCACCGTGTTCGACAAAAATTCTCTTCACACACACACACATCCCTCGTCTTCAGAGAATTCGTTTAACACACTGGCTGGAAGCACATCACTTCCCTGGTGTTGTCTAGACTACCGAGGCGCTGAACTGTCGTCCTAGGCAGTTGAGATGGACGTTACCGATTCCTGGTTGGTCAACAACAGACCAGCTTGTGTTTCGTCTTGCACTAGCGGTCTGATTTGCCTGCTTCCTTGACCAGCAAATGACCTTTTCTGATCAAGTTCTTCGCATAGCCACCGTCTGACGACCAGTTTGCAGGAGTTCGTAATAAAATGCACCTTTCATTCACGGGAGAACCTTCTTCTTCCTCTTCTTCTTCCTATTCTTCTTCTTCCTCTTCTTCTTCTTCCTCTTCTTCTTCTTCTTCTTCCTCTTCTTCTTCCTCTTCTTCTTCCTCTTCTTCTTCTTCTTCTTCTTCTTCTTCAAGTGGATGTCCTGTTGTGGCGTCGATGTGCCGCTCCGCTACCCGGCATCTACCCACGACACCACTTTACGTTTGGAATTCTCGTAACAAAGCTGTGCTTTTCATCGTCCATTCCCCTTCTGTTGCCGAAGGGCAAGCCGTGAAGGGCATGTGTGTTCAGTCAACACATGTGGGGGACGCAACTTCCAAGTTTTTGGATTTTTCCCACTTGGTGCAAGCGTTGTTTTGGTGACTCTCAACTGAGCTGCAAGCTATTGTCGCGTTTGCGTAGGGCCTTCATCCAGTCGAACCCGCGATTCCCCGTCTTTGTACATTCGACGCTGGTAGCTGAGATCAAAATTACCACTTCTGAAACTTTAGAACCAATAGCTACCCATTTCTTAAGACACAATGTCGGCACCAGGAATACTGCAGATTAACTACCGTGCTTTGAAGACATTTTTTTCTGTCTAGAAATCGTAGAAAACGCTGGGCCGTCGGCTGTGCTGTTTGTCAGCTGTTATCGCGCACTGTGCTGTCGTGGGAGATTGTGTAATTCACGTAGACTTGATGTTTGGTGTTTGGAAACCTCGCTTCCGATTCTATTGAAACCACTACAGACTGCGGAAAGATTTCTAAATAACTTATAATTTTAGGCTCGGAGAATTATAATGCAATAGTTCTAGTCGAGAAATAAAGCGTTTGTTTGCTATGGGCGATCTGATTGCCTCTTGTGCACAACTCCCAACCTGATAATGCGGTTAGACGGGGTGGTGGTGTGCCAGACGATTATCTGATTCCGCGCGTTGGTTATTTGGCAAAACACTGCCCACTCAGCCATGCCTTTGTCGTTTTTCGTCCTCAAACACTATCGGACTAATGCCTTACCAAAATAACGCATCGGGGAATGCAGAAATTTTCGTCAAAATTAAATCTAAGTGGTTCGCATTAGATGCAGCCAATAAAGTCGATTGCACATTCAAATAGGGACGAACGAGCCAATAGGCTAGAGGCGGTTGATTTGAATTTGAAAAGTGGTGTGCATGAGTACAGGATTAGCAATTACACACTGAGCGGAATTCGGATTTACACATTTTTTGCAATTTATAAATCGGTATCAGTGAAGCTAAATAACTTTTTTTAATAGTTGTTCCTTATCGGTTTTTGGTTGATTTTATTTTAGGATCCACGCGAAGCTGAAGAAAGGCGCGCTTTGATTCGTCAAAACAAGAAACTCCTTAATCAGGTAAAACGACGCATTTGCGCTTTTAATTACAGCCTTTGAAAAAAGCGGGTTTACGGAGGCTACGATCATAGCTTTACCACTAGTAGCTCGATCAGTTGTCCAATGGTATGTGCCTGTGGCTACCTTGGCATCCAATAAAATTGATTCCATAATCAAATTGGAAGAGGACCAATAGGATGCGGGCGGTCGATACAAAATACGAAAAATGGGAAAGGACCGTAAAATTGTCATTTGTATAAAAAGTTGTGGAAATCGGAGTACTTATACAAAATCAATGACCTAGTTTACGCTACAGCGGCAAACGCGCATACTGGCGCGTATTTTGAACGGCTGAGAGATAGCCAATCACTGCAATGATCCACATGAGCACACGAGTAATCGTCGCGTTAGTTGTAATTTTCGTACAAAAAAATGGACAAATGTGGATGCATCTGGCAGGAATTTCCAAGAGCATTTGGAGTCATGTAATTCGTCAGTGAACGTGCCGTTTCATTGGCTTACAACAAAGTTATTTACACTGAAAGGGTGACTCATTCCTAACTATCTGAACATCAGCAAACGTGGCTAGAATTTGTACTTGCAGATCATCGATACTACTTAGGTGCAATTGCTTTTTACCAACTTTAGTCACAGATTTTTCAGTGCTATGGCCATAAGCCTAGTTGCTGCATTACAAAATGCATATTTTGCTTCATTTTCCTTGCATTTGTGGAACACTGCACCTGTCTACTTATGGAAATTTCAGTAGATTTCATAGTGCGCTTCATCACGCACGCATCACAAAAACCAATCGTTCATCGTGTGTTTGTAGCCAATGAGCTCAGAGTGGAACTCACGCAAGAAAAAAATCGATTTTCCGATCAATAATCCGGTAACTTTTTGACTACTTCAGCTCTACGAGTCGGCGAAGAAGATCGAGACTCTGGAACTCACGAAATTGGAGATGAAGGAACAGCTGGAACTGCTCGACTTTCAGATGGTCGAAATTGAAAACCAAAAAGCAATGGCAAGTTGGCAGTTACCGTGGCTAAGAATTATGGGAATTTCCAGCTTCACAGAAAATGAGGGCACATTTACTCCTTTTTTCATTGACTTTTCTTAATTAGATTGAGGAGGAATTGCGGCGTCAGCCGATTTGTGAGAACAGCGAAACCCAGACAGAGGTACGTGATGCTGGATGTTTTTTTGCTTTTTTTATACCAAAAATGACCTACGGTGTGACGATATTTTCCCACCGAATTCGCTATTTTAATTGGCTCGTGTAGTTTGTGTGTGTGTGGACAATTCAAAGCGCGCGTTCGATATCGAATTGTCCGCGTAATTTCAAATCGAACCACTGATAGTTGAGGGAAGATGGCCGACGCAACGAGGGTTTTTGATTGGCTGGTTTACATCATGGACGATTTGGTAGAATTCTCCATGACGCGAAAACAGACTGGCTGCCGTGTCGCTTTAGTAAAACTCTTTTATGACCACCCATTGCCCAAGTGTCAGTAGTAGATCATGTACACACACGCAAAGGCCATGAAATCACACCGGGAAATTCGCACTGAAATCGTATGCTTCGGCTACAAGGTCCCTAGTTCGAGTCCTCACTCGCGGCGTGATCAGTGGCTTTACGTGGTCACGTAGGGAGTGAGAGCGTGGCCGTGTCACGGGTTGCACGCAACACCACCAACCCACCCACCCACCCGCCCAACCCTCTAGACACGCAACGTAGCCGCTAGCAAGCTGGTTTGAACGCCTGGCGTGTGTGCGATTGTGTGTTTACACTGATCAATAGACGCAGTTTGGTGTGTGCGCGTGCTGAATTCAGATCAACCGCGCTTCGTCAGCTGTTTTTCTGAACTCCCCAACGCTCAGATTTCGGTCGATCCTTTGTTGAACACTGTGGCTTTTCGAGGGAACCAAAATTTTCAGACACGAAACCAAATATTCTCGATCAAAGAACGACTACAACTCACCCAAACTTGGCAGCACATTGAAAGTGTAAGTGGCCAATAGGATCGCGCGCGGGCGATACGAATACGTGGTATTGTGTGCGCGAACGTTTCAGTAAGGTTTAAACGACTAGCAGCTTGCATTAGAGCATCTGTTCGTCAGGAAAAAATCTTTTTTTTGGCTAAAAGTAACACCAACTGTTCATCGTCTTCAAATGCCACTTGCTGCATAATCAAACGGTCTGCGTAGGGGAACACGAGTCTAGTTAATTTGCTTTTTTGCTGTCGATTTATCTTGTTCGATCCAAAAAGGTTATAAAAAATGGGTTAAAACGTAGCATCAAGACACGGGTTGGTTTTACGTTAAAAATTGCAACTTTGGGCGAAATTTTTAACGTCTTAAAAGCACCCAATCGAAATGACTGGACAGTCAGTGGGTCCCAAACACGGCCTGTTAATCAAACGAGATTGTTTGTGCGTCCATTTAAAAATTTTTTGCTTTACAACAGCGGGTCTTAATTAATAATGCAGCAGTTCCTGGTGCCGGCTACTTGTGTTCACTTCGCGGTGGTGCAAATACCGCTCCCCACTTCAATTATTCACTCCTTTTTAACTCTACCTGCCGATTCAGAATCGAGATAAAATCAGACCGTTTTGGCTTCAACACGAACCGATCAGCCCCACTGGGCGTAAATACTTGGGTCTTTGGGGAATCGCGTGAGTAAATCCCTCTACATAACCCACACAGCAGCAGCAGCAGTAGTGGGAGGAGTTACCTGACCCCCCTCTGACTGTGATTGGTCTAATTAGCAGCACGGATTCAAACGCGGAACCACTGCGAGGTTGTGATTGGTCAAGACTATGGATCAGGTGGTTTTGATTGGTCTCTCAAAAACTTCGATTTTCATTCATTCAAACTTTGCAAAGGTATTTCATTTCATCGATTTCACGGAGACCGTGGATCACAGGGTCCTGATTAATCAAGATCATTGCTCAAACAGTACTTGAAACCAGGCGAAAAAATTGATTCTGTAAGACCATAGATCACACAATTTTGATTGGTCCAACCGAGGCGTAGATTCTCACTAATTCAAGCGTAGCATAATTTGCCGTCATGGTGTTTTCAGGCAGACCACAGATGAAGTGGTCTTGATTGGTTTAACAAATTCGTGCGTTTTCTTTTAATTCAAGCATAGTGTGGAAATATGCCATTTTGATTGACTCTGATCGCACGGTTTTGATTGGCCAAGATTTTGAATCAGCCGATTTCGATTGGTCTGAGATAGGTGTGTCGTAAATGTGTAATTCTAGCACAGCAAAACAGCGACAGACTTTTACAATCTCGATCATGCAAGAAGTCAATTAACGTAGATCAGGTTAAGGTCTGATCGAATCCCCGAAAAAGGTTATTTTTATTTAAAATTCGTGACATTTGAAGAGGAGAAATGAACAAGTAAGTCTCCTGAAATAGTTTAGGTGAAAAATCGGACGAATTTACGCAAGTTTTAATTAACTAGACCCATGGCAAGTTCCCTATTCACATTTGAGATTTTACCGTAGTACTAAAAGTCACTACTACTACCACTACCACCGCCACCTGCCACCCCTCAAATCCCCATTTCTCTTTCGTGACAGATAACCGAGATTGTGGCATTTAGCTGTAACGAACCAGTCCTATGTGACTCGCTCGATGTGGTAATGACATCTGTTCTTCTCTGTAGACACCCACAAGTTGACCACTGCAAGGGCAAATTTCGTAGCCCAAAAAGTCGCCGCTTGAAATGTACTTTTGGGGTCAAAAGTACATTTCAATACCATCCAGATTAGCTCGGATTTGCGTCAATTTATTTCCCTCCACGTACCACAGCGCCTGCACACCACTTTTACCTCTATCGTAACCATAGTAACTCCATTTTTAACCAACAATTAATCTTCATTAACAGCAGACGGCGACAAATCTCCACTCTGCGGAGCAGTAAAATTGCTCCGATTTTTTTTTCAAAAACAAAAATTGTCGTTTTTTTCCCGGCTGCGCTGACTTTTTAACTGTCACTGACAAACGTACCAAACGCGGCCCTGTTGATGGGTTTCTACACCCTAGTAACGTTTGGACAGGACCACGAATCAGGCCATTTTTAAGACTCTCCCTTACACTAAAAGGGATTAATGTTTGAGGGAAATTAATTGCGCTGAAATTGAACAACTGGAGCGAGTTTTAAAAAAAAATTCAATATCTAACACCCTTCTTCTCACGAGTTTCTTTAAACAAATGGTTCGAGTGGAGGTTGAATTAGCAATTGAAAAAAAAGTTGAAAAATTCAATGCGTGGAGCAATTTGCACGAAACGGTCTTGATTCCATATTGTGGTCCCAGTAATCTGGATTTGTTTCGTTACGAATCGATTCGAAGCGATGGATGTAGCTGGCTGATTGGTGTGAAAATTAACCGCGTTGAAGTTCACGCCCATGACCTCACCACACCGAGAAATAATTGTGTTCACCTCAACCGCCATAATTTCACTACTATTGGAGTCTTCTTATTGGTCGAGCAAGGCCGGTCATCTTGAAATACTCACTTTCAAAAATGGAGAGTCACGGTTAGGCGCATTTCATTGGCTGACTTGTGAAATTCAAATAACACACATCTGTCTCTAAACAATGTGTGCTTTATCAACACACTCGACAGTCGGCCACATTGTCCAGGCTTGGCCGAGGGTTTTTATTTTTGCAAAAAAAGTGATGTGCGTTTTTTGTACGCAGGAGGACGCCGATTCGGGTCCGTCGGTGGTTGCCTTGGCGCGTGCAGAGACCGCCGCCGCTCTCTCTGAATTGGCCAATCAGCAGGCGGAGAGCGCGGCCTTGGCGGCAAGATACCGTCATTTGGAGAATTTGGTGCGCGATCTGCGTCGCGACAATGCGGAGCTGCGGGAACAGGTCGCGCGCAACGAGGACGACTCAGAGAACTCGCTGGCTGAGAGTGATAAGCACACCAGGGGACAGGCACTGCAGGTGGGTGTGTTTTTTGGCCTTGTGTTCATCAATCGCTGATTGGCGCGTTAGCTCAGGTGCATCTAATCAGGAGCAAGCTGTCGCTTTGGTGGCATTTTTAAATTGGTTGGGCATTTTAAGCAGAAATTCAGCTTTTACAGCCGACATTTTCAGTTGACGGCGAAATCGTTGTCCCTCATTTCAGTGTTAAAAGTTGTTTGTTTGTGTCCTCCCCACAGGCCGAATTGGCCGCGAAGGTGGAACAAATTGCCCGATTGGAGGAGATTTTGGCAAAATCCGAGGCCTCATGTGAAAGCCTCCGAGCTCAACTCAAGTCACACCAGGCAAGTTCTCACACTCCCACCCAATCAACGACGCCCCAATTGTTCAGCCAATAAAAAAGCAGTTCTGATTGATTGGTTGTTTGTTGTGAACAGGTTGGCGGGAGTGGTGATTGTGCGGAGCTTCAGCGACTGCAGGACAGGCTACGAAGAGCCTGTGGCCTTCCAGAGGGTGCTGGTGATGTTGAACTGGAAGATGGCTGCCTCCTTCTTAATTCACCTGTCGTCCAACAGTTGGCAGTGGAACTAGAGGTTGTCAGCGACCCGGTCACAGAAGACACCTTACTCACAGCCATTCGCAATCTGAAGAGGTACGTGATGATCCTTGGAGTACGACTTTCTAACTAAAGCGAACACACGCATTGGTTAATCGACTCCTGCCAAACGACCAATCAGATTAATCTCCTGGACGCTTTGCCTGATTGGTTGGGTGCAACCAACCAAACAAAGCAAATCGTGGCAACCAGTTTATCAAACTCGATTTTAAGGGGGTGTGACGTTTTAACAAAAGCGAACACACGCATTGGTTAATCGACTCCTGTCAAACGACCAATCAGATTAATGTCCTGGACGCTTTGCCTGATTGGTTGGGTGTAACCACTCACAATAAAGTGACAAGCAGAGCAAATCGAAGCAAGTAGTTTGTCAAACGCAATCTGAAGAAGTACTTTTCGGCCGCCTATACCGGCTAAATGTGCTCTCTTTTGTCAATTATGTTGTTGATATTTTCAAAAATTGCCTTCCTATTTAAGCAAGCACACGCTGGTTGATAGCCTCTGGTCAAACTACCAATCAGATTGACCGATTAAACTGTTTGCCTGATTGGTTAGGCGCAACCAATCGTAATCAAATGAGAAGCAGAGCAAATCAAATCGACCGATTTATCAAACGTGTTTACAGTAAAAATATGTTCCTCGGTAGTCTGTCGTTCATTATTTCCTCCGTGATGTTCCTTGAGTACGACGTTCTAACTAAAGCCAACACACTCATGGGTTAATCGACTCCTGTCAAACGACCAATCAGATTAATCTACTGGACGTTTTGCCTGACTGGCTGGGTGTAACCACTCAAAAAAAGATGACAGAGCAAATCGGGACAACCAGTTTGTCAAGCATCATGTTTTAATTAAATAAAACACACACATTGGTTAATCGACTGCTTTCAAACGACCAATCAGATTAATTCACTTGACGCTTTGGCTGATTGGCAAACCTAAATTAAATTAAATTGCTTTTTAGGGTGAGAAATTCACTACTCCTCACTGGGTCTCGGACAAGCATTAAAAGTGAGTGATTTGCTTGGCTTATTGTCAAGCGCCTTGAGTTTTGTTTCTTGCATGAAAGTTATTTCCGAATACTGTCATAATTTACCCCAAGGCGATCAAACTCGGGACACCAATTCGCCCGAATACTACTCACTACAATTCAGCCACCTGCAGAGCACAAAAGAGTCCGATGGCCTGCGTGCCCAATTGGCCATCTGCGAGAAACGTCGAGTTGACCTTGAGAAACGCGTTCAGGAACTCACCTCGGACTTGTCACACGCACAAGCCGAGTACCGCGCCAATGAGGCCGCGCTCACAGCCTCGCGACGCAACGAGGCGGCTCTCAGACGACGCCTCCTCGCAACCATGGACACGGGCTCGACCAATCAACGCGGCAGACCCGTTTGTTCCGTGGATTTTGTCTTGACGTCGGGAACATCTCCGCCGCTTAAGGAGGACCTCGATGCGCAGACGAAGGTCTGTTGAAGCGCCATCAAAACGTAGATAATTATTGCTACTGAAATAACATCAATACGACGTGTGCATTTAGGTTATTCGGCTAGAGGCTGCGAACGCGGCGCTAACGGAGGCAAGCCATCTGGATCGTGCGCGGTTGCAGGATCAGGCCACGAGGATCGCCCAGCTTGAAGCGGAGCAGCGAACTCTCCACGACAGAATGGCCAGCCTCCAGGCGTCTGAGTCGTGTGCTCAGCGAGCTAGTGTGAGGCTGCAGGTGAGAAAACTTGCAGTTTAAAATGGCTACTTATTACATGTGAGTAAGATATACATTCCACTCTACATATTGGCAGGCTCTGTATGAAGACATGCTGAGGGAGTTCTCGGAAGCATCGACGCAAGACGCGAGCTCAGCAGCAAGACGCCGACAGCGACAGACAACGGATCCACGTGGATACGAAACGGACACCGCTGTTGTCGTCAACTCGAATCGTCACTCAGCTGATGACGCCGCAATGTTAAAGGTGTGTTGTGGGGGCTCAATCACGCCTTGAAAGCATGATTGATCGACCGAACCGCATGCTGAATGTGTACAACTACTCATAAATTATAAGTATCAATTTTATTTTTCTAGCCTTGCGGCTCCAAGGCCTGCGCTGAGATGCGCGCGGTCCTTGCCACTCTGCAGGAGCGCTTCGTTCGCGCCGCCGAGCAACTCACAGAAGCCGAAACTCTGCTCGCGGAAGTGGAGGGAGGCCACGGCGGGGACCCCTCGCGGTCCCCCCATGCACCTCGCGCGTGCCCCCACCTCTTCGCGGCTTTGCGCTTTGCCGTGGAATGCGATCGATCATGTGAGGCCGGTACACCGACAGCGGGTCTCCTTAATCGATTAGAGCGGTGGATTAACGCCCAGCTAACTCGTCGTCGGACAATTGAGGCGGAGTTGAGGCAGCGATGTGTGGATCTACAAGTCGCGCTGTCTAAAACGTCGTTTTCTCCGGTGAGTTGAATTTCCAACGCCCTTATTAGACAAAAGACGAAGCTGCTAAAGTTGTTGATTGGTTCAAATCATTTTTTGCGTTTTTTTAGAATGACGCCAAAGTTCTAGAGGCGAGCCTGGAAGCTCAGAACAGCGAGTTGGCAGACTTGCATCGGAAACTGGAAATCCTGCATGACGAACTGGAAGCCATCAAAGGTGTTTGCGAGGTTCAGGTAAGCCGCAAGGAGCGCTCACCCTAGCGGTCTGATTGGTGGACAAACTCCCCCACCAATCTGATTGGTGGACGAGCTCTACTGCCAATCTGATTGGCTGGTGAGCGGCATCGCCTCATTGCACTAGATGTCATGACGATAGTTCACTTGTTTCCCACAAAAGTGTGAATTTAAGTAAAAACCCTCAAACACTTTCAGGTATTTGCTAGGTAGGGGGTAGGGGGACACGGACTGATCCAACTGCTCTCTTTGCTGACATCCACCTGACTGGAGTTTGATCTGTGGTTTTTCATCTGTGACTTTAGTTGCCTCGTGGTCACTACAGTGGAACACGAATCGACATCATAGAAACCATTTGAGGCACAGCCACGCCATCTCACGTTCCAACTGCTCTCACGCTAAGTTAAATGAAATTTTTTGTCTAATTATTGACATTTCATTAAATTATGACCACTCATAATGGCTTGTTTCTGGATATGTGGACCTTCGGGGTTTAATAAGGACGTGATATGGACATGATAATGTCAATTGGGATTGTTGAGTGGAGTTTCACGTTTTTCAATCTTATGCGCGGTCAGTAGACCAATTGCTATTAAGACAGGACCAATACTAAAGATTCGAAATCTGACCAATCATCGCTCGAGAAGAGGGATAAATATTTGCAGCAAGATTTTGATTGGCTCCCTGGTAACAAATCAGATTTTAATTTCGAGACAGAACGTGATATTTTGTTAGCAGGAATTTAGACTACATGCAGGCGACCTACAAACGTCAAATACAACAAAGTGGCACAAGTGAAAAGGTTGTGTTTTGTTCTTTTCTTGCCGCAGTTTCGAGCGACTACCGACCAATGACATTGGCGCCTCTCCTGATTGGTCAATCAATCCTCGCCTTGGATTGTAGCTTTGCATGCTTACATTCACCATCACCATCACCACCACCACCGCTTACGACCCCGTGTAAACACCCACTTCTAGCATTTATCTGTTAAATTTCTAACTCGCATCTCCACTCCGCATGTTTTTTTTGTGTTACGCGAACATTTTGTGTGTGCGTGTATGAGTGTGCGTAAGTGCTAGCTACGCCACTGTCATTTGAAACCGAGGGTGTATCAATGGTCCCTGCGATATTCTTAATGACATTTAAAATGAATTTAAAATACACTTTCATACCATTTTACTACACCCGATGCATAATGTCTACTTATTTGGTAGCTAGTAGCCATTGACGGGCGAGGCTCAGGTATTTGTAGTTTTCAAAGCCAGAAATCTCGTCAAATTCACGAGTTTGCATGTCAGATCAGGCTGACAAGCACACAGACGCCTAACCAGACTCAGTGTGTCGGCGTATTTGAGTGACACTGTCTCGCCAAGTTGCGTTCTTCAAAGCTCCGTTGTTGCCTGGATGATAGCATACTTGTTCCAACCGGAGGCCGTTCTGATTGGTTCGAAGTTGGATGGAGCCACAATGAGGCGTTCAGTTTTATCAGTAATCGCGTTACACCTGTTATGATTCGCGTTGATTCACACACTCGCTAATCCGGTCGCTCCAGCCTTCGACAGAGGGTTCATCTTTTCGCAGCATGTCACCAGCCGCGCGGATCCTCAACTCCCCCCTCATTCACACGGATATTTATCTTGGAGTATCCCCACACCTAGGTCTCGATGTTAGCGCATGTATGACTTACCCATCGGAGGTATGGATACAACGACACCAACGTGGTTGAGCTCTGAAGTAGACAGTTGTGTCCACGTCCTCTCTGGTATTTTTCTTCATCGCGGGTATCAGGGAAGAGTAATCTGGCCAGGGTTGATTGCGTGGCCCCGGCGTGGTTTGAGACCACATGCTAGGGCCGACATCACACCCAACCCAACCACAATTTCTCTGGAGATGTCTTTAAAGTGACCTTAATACCGGATTTTTATAAATTAAACAAAACTTTTTTTCCAAAATTATATGGATTTTGGCCAGATCTGATGTAGGTAATTTCAGGAGACTGCGTTTAGACCACCGACGTAGCAAATTATCTCATTGTTTGAAGTAGTTCGCCCCATCTGCTTAATTCCCATAATGAAGCAGTTTGATTGGCCGGACCATCTAGAATCATTTAGCCGAAATGTTTAGGGCTAAACCGATTTGCACACATGGCAATATCTAAGTGCGCCAAATTCGACCTGGGATGGACTGCTTGCACTGAAAACATCGAGGAACAACGTGTCGTACATGTGTGTGTGTGGGTGGGTGTGTGTGCGCATTCCTGTGTATCGTTGCCTAGCATGAATCGAAAAGATGCTACGCAAGTGTTCCAATTCAGAGTTGCCAAAAATACCTTCTTTTTCTGTGGTTTCAGCGCAACTAAACGACAATTCCCACTCTATATTGTTCCAGGTCTTAGGTCGTAGGTCAACACCATGGCCTTATCGCGTTCGAAACTCAATCAATAATTCAAACAATTTAGTCACTAAACTGCAAGACGAAATGCAAAATCGTGTCGCCATATTTAGTCCATCGTAAATCAAGCTTGGTAGAACATTCCAGCAGTGGCCATGCTAGCTACTAAATTCTGTCGTTTTGGATTCATCGATTTCCTCAACAAATGACCAATTCACCTACACCAATAGCTGATCGCTTCCAATTTGGATCTGTAAGCAAATGACAATTTTCCGAAATTTCACTGACGAAAGCACTTATTACGACTGAAATTCCTTTTAAGAAACGAGAATTACAGGAAGTTAAATGCGTACAATTTTTTATCAAACTCAAAACGCGAGGCAGCTTCGTTCTAGCTGACTCCATCGCAGTTAAATATCTGCCTTGTTCTGAAAATAAACAACTTACCAGCTAAGAATCCTCCTGCACTTCTCTCTCTATCTCCACCTAGTTGCAAATTTTAACGTGTCGCCAACATCCTTACTGCTAAGTACTGAATTGTGCGCCAAAAACGGACAATAAATAATTAAACAAGGCTTGGACGGTTTATGTATGGCGTCATTCTCGAAACGATTAATTGACAAGTAGATCAGAAATCCTTAAAAAATCGGAGCTGTTTGTGATTAGTTCAGATGACGTTTAGGCCAAAAATATTGAAAACTCAGGCTATTTAGATTTAAAAATTTGGTTTGCTCTTATTATTTCAAATCTTTCAAGTGAAGTTGATGTAGGATAACACGGACACAAACCGATTTGAATGTTGTTTTACTGTTCGAGTTTGCTCGATGCGCGCCCTTTTTCAAATTGTGCGCCCCTGCACTTGCCTCTTCCAAACAGATTCCATTCTTAATCGATTTTTGTCCAAAATACGTCTACACAACGTTCTCTCATTTTGGGATGTGAGTTCAGAAAACCAATAAGTTGCTATATTTCACCATGACTACCTGTCTATGCACACCATTTGCTTCACTCTCATTGGTTCACTCGGACTTGAAGGTCAAGGTCGCTCAAAGGTAGATGTGATTGGGTGACTGAAGGTCTCAACTGGGTCACTCATCAGCATCCATGTATTCTTTCCAACGTCTTATAAGTTTCTGAATTCATTCTCATTTTATATTCACATTTTTTTGGATCAGCAGCGCTTTGCATTTAAAATCCCCACATTTTTGCATCGGCAGTTAAACGACATGCTGTCTGCCGTTGTCATAGTGATGCCTTTTCGATTGGCCAAATTTGGACTTAAACAATTACGATGCTTACCCTTGTGTTTAAAACAACTCTATCCATTTTTGACTCGTGTGCATTAGTGCTGCCAACTCCCTTTCAAGGTCACGGGTGTCCTTGAGCGAAATGTAAAAACAGCGCCAGTCAGTGGAGCCTTGCCTCGTGGAAATGTCAAAGTCGCGGCAAAGTGCTTGCTTTTGGCGCCAACTGTTGTTTTAAATGCCACACCTCAATTTCAGCATGGCCGCCTGCCAGCTTATGTGTGTTCTTAAACAAATCTCTCAGATAAATATTTATTGAATAAAAATTAGCGCATCTTAGGTTTCATGTCGAATCGATTTGACCGTCGTCGGACAAACATCACGTGGGTGTTGGGCCAGGCAATGAGTTATCGTGGCGAGTGGCAATCCCACTTTCAAAAAACCCTTCTACACATACACCCCAGTTCTTACTTCTCTTTCAGTGATTCTGAAATTTCAGGAATTTGTGAATGATACCGTTGGTTTAAACGAGTTTTCGAAGTAAGGTGACGATGGTGGCTGTATTTCTAATCAATACGTAGATGGTAGAGATCAGACTCCACTGCGCATCTCCAACCCCTACCTGTCAAAGTGGTGGAGAATTTCGCCAACACACGACTATTAGTGAAGTCATTTGGCCTTCCGAATTTCGGTCGATCGTAAGCTTCAAAATCACACAGTTTGTGCTATTTTAGAAACGGCACGTGGCGTGGAGCTATGCAGACACCAACAAACAATCACCTCGTAACCGTGGTGGAGAGAAGTTGGCGAATTTTCGCCAGAGCGCAGCGCAGCTGTTGTGGCCGTGAAGTGGCCATGGTGAAGCGTAATGAGGGGAGGGTGATAACCGCACGTGGAGACGGCATAGCTTACGCACGACCAAGTTGACGTCACGGCTTCTAGTTAAGTTAATGGCGTCTGGTGTGTTCGAGCGCGTTGCAATCTCGCTGGCATTACCCTTCGCCAGAACATCACATAATCGTGTTTGTGAGTTAGTCTTTGCTCTGGCTCTTACTCATCACCATTGCCACCCAAGGCAGATGGCTCAACTCAACTAAGTTCAGACGTGCACACACGCACACACAATTGCCTGCTCAAACGTGTTCGCACAACCAATGCGTGCAGGTAGGCATTGAAATCTAGTGACGATCATCATCATCATCAGCATTTCAACTGTGGTCTGGAAACTGCAGCGGGTGTCGTGAGACTTGGTGGAGAATTCTGTAACTCACTAGCAGAACACATTCCTGCCCAGCTTCACACCGACTAACAAGCACAACCTGTTTCGTTGTAACCGAGAGTACGCGCTTGACGAAAGCCGTCATGCCTGGTTTTCACCACTCCCTGCGAACG